AAGATTAGCCGGACTTGCGAAGGGAAAAATTCCGAATGAGTAGAGGAGGCAGGGAACCGGCGGTGACTTGTCGCGCCCAACTTGGAGGGGGAGGGCTAACAACTAAAATGCGGGTAGATTTATATGGGACTGTTTCGAGCTTATTGTGCCTTTCTTTCACAAACAATGACCTCTGTCATCATCTGACACCAAAAATATCAACGCGCGCGCACTGAAGGTGGTTCGCGAAGGAGGGATTATTATATGGATTGTAGGCAATTAATCGAACAGAAATTCATAATGGCCTTGCCACCCGGCATTGCCTATTGTCGCAGATCAGGTATCCATTTACAGATACGTAGATGCACAACGATATATTGGCTTTACACGATAATTTTAGCGTCGACAACCATGTTGATGAACGAAGGTCTTACATATTTCCAGCCTTATTGCTTTATTTGCCTCGCATGCCAAAGTGGGACTTCCTAACTACTCCTCGTGGACTTAGAACATTTATATATTCCCTTGGAAAAGGGGAAACGGAAGGCTAAGAAACAATTGGAAATCACTTTATGATCGTCAAAAATATGCCTAATGCGAATTTCTGGGCAGATGAAGTGGCTTTAATTGTAGCAGTAACGGCCCAAGGAAATTGGGGTCCAGAAAAGAGTCTACACGTAACAACGTTATGAGGGCCTGACGCGAGTCAGTAGATCGTAAATCGACAGCATTACGCACCGCAGGGTAAAGATGCAAATAATTGCTTACATGGACTACGAGAACAGTAATTTCGATCTCGAACTAGGAGGGTCATAGCACACTACGCCTTATCCCTTGTTCTACGCGCAAAATAGGGGGTTTAACTGTTTCCAAACCTGCAGTATCGGCTGCATCGCAGGCAGAATGTAACTGTGCTTCTGATGGTTGGCTTATACAGAAGTCGGCATCAACAAAAAATGGTTCAGATCAAAAGTGCCTACTTTGAGAAGTTCCAGTCCAGCGCTGCCCATGGTCTTTTGCATTTTCTCATTTTCAGTCAACTTCGAGTCCCGCCAAGATGGGAAAGTCTTCTTTTGAAATTCTGGTAGACTCGTAACACCGGACCACACCTCCTCCGAGGGCGTGCCGAGAGCACGGAAGATGCGGAAGATCTGATCGATTTCTGAGTCGCCGCGGAAAAGGGCCTCTTTGGTCGCCACCTCGGCAAAGATACAGCCCATCGACCAGACGTCGACTGCGCAGGAGTAGCGTTGTGCGCCCAGGAGAATTTCCGGGGCTCGGTACCAAAGCGTGACCACCTAAGTGGAGCGAAAATATAATGTTCCACCATACTTTCGTTGATAGAAAAGACAATGGTACAAATCCACAACTCATGTTCATGGGAAGATAGGGGAACTGCAATTTTGGTTAGGATGGATGATCCTGGCAATGGCTTTATGGAGAGAAAACACTACGTTTTTGCTTATAGCAGGTCAAAACAAGTGTGCTTTGGTGACTTACTGGACAACAGGTTTAAATAAAAGGGGTATAAAAAAGGCAAAGTACATCATAATGAGTGGAGCTCGTTCCTGCTTGATGAAAGATAATTAATGACCAAAAGTGGCGGTGAGAGCAGGAATGGCCCAGGGTCAACTGTTCAGAAACTTCACTGAGCAGATTTGGTGAAATACTAAACCAAGTGTGTGTTACTGGCACTCAAAGGCACCGACAAAGTTAAGCAAACAGACGGCTCCGAAAAAAACTGAAAACAATACTAAACTAAAATATGACAAAACATCCTCGGAATGTCGCGGACTGCATTCGGACGAAATTTCAACTCAAGTGCTGCCTACCGAAAGAC